AGATATCAGCTACTCCTGAGGATATGGAGTAACTGAAATATTGGTACTGAAATTGGTACAAATACTTTGGAAACAAGTTGGCATTACCTAGTAAAGTTGAAAATGCCGTAACAGGCGCACCCACACGTAGGGAAGCTCGATTTAGTATGTGTGCTGGAGGTCATGTTACAAGGATGTTCACAGAAGCAGGGTTTGTCATTGTTAAGGATTAGAAACAGTGTCGTCCACATTAGAATGGACAAATACGTTGTGGTATATCCATACTTAGAATTCTGTACAACAGTGGAAATGTATGAATTACAGACCCATATTATATAACAGCCTAGATAATTTCCTGACATATATGCTGTGCTTAGTCGCTCAGTTGTGTCCAGCTCTTTGCGACCCTATGGACTAGAGCCCACCAGGCTAGAGGCTCTGTCCATGGGATTCTCCAGGAAGAATACTGGAGTGAGTTGCCATGCCCTCCTCCAGGGGATCTTCCCGACCCAGGGACTGAACCTAGGTCTCCCACATTGCAGGTGGATTCTTTACCATCTGAGCCACAAACAGCCAAAAATTCCAAAATACTTACAGTATCAATTTATATAAAATTCGCTTATTTAAAAAATTAAGTAATGGCTATCTGTGGATATAGGTAGGTGGTAATGCCGAAGAACAGCAAAGGGATGATGGAAACTGACCTTGGGAGGGAATGGGGTGTGACAGGGGAGTCCATGGAGACATCACAGAAAACAGGAATGTTCCTGTGTACATTTGGATGATGGTACTTGGGCATCTGTTGGTTTTAATTTTATAATCTACATATATTTTATAAATACTGCTTCCTATCTGCTCAGTATTTAATAGCAGTGTTTCCAGAATCATTTAATAGGCACACAGAATTGTCTTCTTTCCGATCTTTTTGCTGAAGAGTTCCCCTGGAACAGTCTTCTCTGGCTAGTGCTTCCGGGTTGTGCAATGATATGGTGTAGTGGGAACTACTGTGAAGTGTTTCTTTTAGAGTGAAGCTATGACTTACACATTGGTTCCTGATTATCCACAGGGAGGAAGATGGCAGTTCATTTTATTTTGTGTATAACACTACAGTGTCTCCCTTGATTTTGGAAATGGGAGTTTTACACTGGATTTTCTACCCTTAGCATCATAGGCTTGAAGATCTTGCCTTCTGTTTCTTGAAAGAGTATAAAGAAAAGTGGATTATTTATGGTTGTGTAAGCTTTTCCTTGAACAGTACAATCTTCTAAGGGTTCATTTTATTTATTTGTTTGTTTTTAATATCTAGTTTTTTAATCCATCTGAAATTTACTTTGGCGAGTGGTGTGAAATAGGGACCTAAATTTATTGCTTTCAAATGGCTATCAATTGTTCCATACAGCATTCATCTCACATGCTAGCAAAGTAATGCTCAAAATTCTCCAAGCCAGACTTCAACAGTACATGAACCATGAACTTCCGGATGTTCAAGTTGGATTTAGAAACGGCAGAGGAACCAGAGATCAAATTGCCAACATCCCCTGGATCATCAAAAAAGCAAGAGAGTTCCAGAAAAACATCTATTTATGTTTTATTGACTATGCCAAAGCCTTTGACTGTGTGGATCACAACGAACTGTGGAAAATTCTTAAAGAGATGGGAGTATCAGACCACCTGACCTGCCTCTTGAGAAATCTGGATGCAGGTCAGGAAGCAATAGTTAGAACTGGATGTGCAACAACAGACTGGTTCCAAATAGGGGAAGGAGTACATCAAGGGTGTATATTGTCACCCTGCTTATTTAACTTATAGGCAGAGTACATCATGTGAAATGCCAAGCTGGATTAAGCACAAGCTGGGATCAAGATTTCTGGAAGAAATAGCAATAACCTCAGGTATGCAGATGACACCACCCTTATGGCAGAAGGCAAAGAAGAACTAAAGAGCCTCTTGATGAAAATGAAAGAGGAGAGTGAAAATGTTGGCTTAAAACTCAACATTCAGAAAACTAAGATCATGGCATCTGGTCCCATCACTTCTTGGCAAATAGATGGGGAAACAATGAAACAGTGAGAGACTGTATTTTTGGGCTCCAAAATCACTGCAGATGGTGACTACAGCCATGAAATTAAATGATGCTTGCTCCTTGGAAGAAAAGCTATGACCCAATCTAGACAGCATATTAAAAAGCAGAGACATTACTTTGCCAACAAAGGTCCGTCTAGTCAAAGCTATAGTTTTTCCAGTATTCATGTATGGATGTGAGAGTTGGACTATAAAGAAAGCTGAGCGCTGAAGAATTCATGCTTTTGAACTGTGGTGGTGAAGACGACTCTTGAGAGTCCCTTCAACTGCAAGGAGATCCAGCCAGTCCATCCTAAAGGAAATCAGTCCTGAATATTCATTGGAAGGACTAATGCTGAAGCTGAAACTCCAATACTTTGGCCACCTGATGTAAAGAACTGACTCATTGGAAAAGACCCTGTTGCTGGGAAAGATTGAAGGTGGGAGGAGAAGGGGACGATAGAGAATGAGATGGTTGGATGGCATCACTGATTCGATGGACATGAGTTTGAGTAAGCTCTGGGAGTTGCTGATGGACATGGAGGCCTGGCATGCTGCGGTTCATGGGTTCACAAAGAATCTGGGACAGGATTGTGCAACTGAACTGAACTTATTGAATGATGAATCACTGATTGGAGATTCATTTATCATGTACTACTGAGACAACTACTAATCAAAAGTTGGAGTACATAGTAGGACCAGACACTGTTCTAAATACTTTCCAAATATTCTCTCTTAATCTTCAAACCCACCCATTTTACATTAAGGCACAGAGAGGTTAGGTGATTGCTCATTGTCACATAGCTACTAATAAGTGAGCTCGGATTTTAACGCACAAGTCTAACTCTAGAATCCATGTTCTTAACCTTATATAAGCATGAGTTGTTGGAATTAACATATTTGGTACTTCGCAGGCAGCCTGAGCTTATGTTTTTCACCTCTTGGATCATTTTTGAAATTTTTTTTCTTTTTAGTTGCTCAGTCTCTTTGTGACCCCTTGGACTATAGCCTGCCAGGCTCCTCTGTCTGTGGGGCTTCTCCAGGCAAGAATACTGGAATGGGTTACCATGCCCCCCTCCAGGGGATTTTCCCAACCCAGGGAGAGAACCCAGGTCTCCTGCATTGCAGGCCGATTCTTTACTGTCTGAGCCACCAGGGGAATTTAGCGCTGGAGAAATGGAGAACAAATTGTGGTTTTTAAAATTGAAGATAAATAAATAAAATTGAAGATAGTCATGGAAATCTAGGGAAAATCCAAAGTAAAAACAATATTTCTCAGGTTTATTTTAACATATTTTCTGATAACAAAGAAGCCTAAGATATTTAAATTTTTTTCAGGTTGTTACCCAGTTCTAAAATTTGAGGATAGGGCTTCCCTGGTGGTCCAGTGGTTAAAACTCCCCATTTCCATTGCAGGGGGTTTGAGTTTGATCCCTGGTTGGGGAACTGAATTTCTGCATGCTGCGTTCTGCAGCCCCAAAAAATTAAAATTCAAGGATATGACCATTTATACTAGTGAAGTTTTCTACTTGATTGAATAAATGTTGGTGCTCCTAGGAATTTTATTTAATATTTATGTAATTATCAGTTACTTTAGTGTTTTCTGAATTTCTTATTCTATTTCTTCACTTGGTATAAATGTAAAATGATAGAATGATTTGGAGATTCATAGCCAGACTAATCTGGATTGAAATTCCAGCTCTGTACTTAACTGTATTTCTTGGACTAGTAACTAAAAATCTCTGAGCCTCTCTTTTTTTCATCTTTAAATTAAGTAATAATACTCAGGAGTGGTATGATATTTAAGATTGTATTTGTAAATTTTCTGACAAGTTATATATATACTATAAATATACTATACATTTTAGTTTCTTTAAAATATGTATATGAAAGCCCTTGGCTTAAATTAATAATTTGCTTTTCCTATTTGCATCTTCTATAGAGGAGTATAATAATTTTTATTTGGAAAATTTAGATGAACTATGGAATTAATTCTTAGCTGATTTTTGTGAGTAGATTTCTATCTCAAATGATTGTAATTCAAGTGTCTTCATTATAACATTTCTGTTCTTCCTTCCTTTTGTTTGACCATTCTGGGAATAGACAGACAGTTTTTTCTGGACAAAAGTTTTAAGGCCTTCTCAACCTGTTAAATGCCATAACCGTAGTTTAAATGTTTTGTCCTTTTATGATTTCTGAGTGTACTTTTAAAGTCAGACTCTTAGATCCCATTATATATACTATAGCAACAAGATAAAAGGGGTGAACCAGAGCCTCAGGGCTCTAAGGCGCCCAGGATTCTCTTGTTCTCAGAAATGCCTGATTTTTTAGATATCAGAACACCTAGAACAGGTGTCAGGTTCATCTTCCACTTTTAGATGTCAAAATACTAGTCTCCAGATAACTTTACAGTTTTATTCAAATACTTAAACCATTTTATATGGTAGATTATGCATTATTCAAAATTCTGATATTTTTCATGATATTTAAGAATTCATTTTACTGAAAGAAATGAAAATTTATTTAATATTAACTTTTTCTTGAGTAATTTAGAAATTGTATTAAATTGTGTGGTTTTTCTGTATTATTATTTATAGTTATCAATATATTGTGTCATATGTTTTTAAAAGTGCTGATGGGATCTGACTGAGTCAACACCCAGATGAAAGATTACAGTAATGAATGATTCATTTTTTCTTTAATGAACATACCTTGTGTCAAGTAAGCAGCGTATACCATAAATATGTGTTTTGCAGTCGAATTGAAAAGCCTGTTCGGTTTTGCGGGTGAATGTGCTATGGTATAGTGTAACTTGTAACCAGTTACATGGAAACTCTTTCCTAGAAAACGATAAAATGAGGATGCCTGGTGACTTGGTGTTTGGCTCACGGGAAGCGAGGCCGGGGGCAGCCCCGCAGCGTGCCTCCGGAGTGAACGTGTCGTCTCTCCTCTCTCCCCAGGTGCCGCCGTGGCCGGCATTTACCGCGTGGCCGGGAAGAACATGGCCCCCTTGGAAGCCCTGGTGTGGGGCGTCGGACAGACAGTCCTGACGCTCATCATCTCCTTCTCAAGGATCCTCGCCACACTCTGAGGTTTCTGTGGGAATGTCTTCACTTCACATAAGGAAACAGACGTACAGATTCTCTGAAAACGGCATCGTTAGCGAGTGGGCATGAGATCGTACCAGGACGAGGAAGGAGCAGGTCAAAACACAGGCCTCGGGCCGTGTGGGAAGGTCGCCCTCTGGCGTTCAATGATTGCACTACCGCACCGCACCTTACGTGCCTCCGTCCCGGGCAAGGCGCATTGCTACGCGAAGCTACAAGAAAAAGCACCTTGTTTAGCTGCCAATCAGGTTAACACTGGTGTTGAATCATCATTCTTAACAGTGTTGTGTTAAGTTACAGGGACGTTTTGAAGAATTGATACATGTGCCAAACTCTTTTCTTTTTTCTTTTTTTTTTAACATTGATCATGTGAAATTTGCAAGTGTAGCTGTAGATGAGTGCTGTGAACATATTTGACATGAATTCAGGTGATGTAGTGAGAAATTTTGTTTTGTAATGCTAAATCCTGTATGAGTGCTGAATATCAAATCATTTATTATGAGACAAATTATCTGATTTTTAATGTTAAACGTTTCTGGGATTTAGGGCTTTCATATAAATTAGGTATTTATTGTTATTTACTTTACGTGGAAAATAATACTGAATGGGAAAGTGCTAGACTCTTTTAAGGATTCAGAGTAGATCTATAGGGTGCGTCCTTTTCACTCACTCAAATAACGCTCTTTAATAGTTCTCCTCATACATAAACATTCTGTTGCTATGAATTTAAAAACTTTTTGGGTCACACCTGTTGATTGTAGCTTGTGTGTCATGAAAATTTAATTTGAAAATTTTCTTATAAATTTTGTAGGAAAAGAAGTCTGAAATGCACATCCTATTCTTGGCCCTTCTGAAGAAAGTTTCTGCCATGTGTCTCATGGAGAAAACATCTTTACAACTAGTATCTCAGTGGGATTATATTACTTGTTGCATATATCTTGATTTTTGGCAAAATGTAAGCAGTCTTTCATCCTGCAGTATCAAATATATATAAAGAGTGGTCTAAATTAGGCTGTGAAAACAAGAAGCCTCACTTGTAGTTAAGAAACAAGTCATATAGGAAGAATAATAAATGATCTTATTTTGGCTGTGGGGTAGCATCATAATTTCTCTAAGTAAAAATTGGGGAATATAGTAAATTTAAAATTTGGCAGTTATTCTCAGCATATCAGTACAGTGTTGAACATATATTTAAGTGATTCATTTCAGTTTTTCAACTCTTGTTTTATTCTGTTATTTAAATTTACTAGCATCTACAATGACATTTATTAGAATGAAAAAATCATTAGTATAAAACACTTTAAGAGATTTTGGCAACATGTAATTGTATTTAAGAGTGTAAGAAGTAAGGAAAGCATAGAAACTGGCTGAATTTGTCTCCTACTGAGACTTTTTCGAATATTAGATACAATTATACATTGTTGTTTAGTTGCTAATCACGTCTGACTCTTTGCGACCCCATAGACTGTAGCCCCTCTCAGGCTCCTCTGTCCATGGGATTCTCCAGGCAAGAATACTGGAGTGGGTAGCCACTTCCTTCTCCAGGGGATCTTCCTGACCCAGGGATTGAACCCACATCTCCTGCATTGGCAGGCAGATTCTTTACCACTGAGCCACCAGGGAAGCCCACAATTATATATATGTTAATTCAAAAGAAGAGCCAATTGCAGAAAATATGAAGTTATGGACAATCCAAAAGATAATCTCCATACTCTAGCCTCACTCTTTTATAATCTAACTTGGTAACAAGTAAGTTTCTACTAGGTCCCATTCAAATTTAAGACCTTTGTTACCCACGACACCTTTTCTCTACCAACAACTCGATGATGTGTTGGGGGTATTTTTGCAGTATGGAAGCCAGTTTGGGGCGGGGTAGTTTTAATAACACTGTGGTTTGGAAATCTGTTTTAAAGAAGCCAAGAAGCAACTATGCATTCTTAAAAATCTTTAAAGTAAATCTTAAAATGGATTCTTTTTATTATGTTCAGCCTGAAATTAGTTTCACATGTTCTTTATATTCCTGATGTTTTCTTAAATTTAGGTCTAAATCTCCCAAGTCAACTTGACTTTTCCTTTTCTGTTGGATTTGAATCACTTTCTTCCTTTACTTTGGCTATTCTGTCAGTAATTTAAACTGTTCATATTCTTGGGGAGAAATTATCAATAATGTGTTGAGATTGAGATCTACAGAAATGAATATTTATTTTAACACATGATTAGTTTATGTTTTCAGAAAGTTACCATGGTAAGGTAACTGGGGCACATGGTTCAGAATCTGAGATTAGCCAGAAAATAACTCGGACATGTTAAGTATATGGCTGCATGGACCAAAGAGATTTAAACTCCTGTTTTTGCTCTCGGATGGAAGTATGAGAAGGTGGATCTGAGTGTCCTGCAATTATCTCATTATCAAGTTGCTTTATATTATGAGCCATGTGTGCGTGTGTGCCTACACCTGTGCTTTTAACTTTGGGGGGATTTCTGGCTTCTTCCATTGTTTTTAGTTACTTTCATTGGAATTTTGTGCACCTGTTAACTCTTCTAATGTTGTGAAATGCAGCTGATAGTGTGAATGGATGAAATGTTTTAATAGCTGTTTCTATGATGAGATTTTTTTTTAAAAAGGTCAATGGTTTTCTTATAGAGGCAAAGAAAACATTTAATGATATATATCTACACACATGTATGTCATTACACACACACATATATGTAAAGCTGCTGTATATGAATAGAGTCTAATTGGAAAGCTTTTGTTCAGTGAACACTTTGATGTAATGGAGAATTTGATGTATTTGCTCAGTTGAATGATCTTTTAAACAGATTTGAGGAAGTTTGAGATTTTTGAATTGGGGGAAATTTTTCTTGGTTTCTTAGTGCTAGAGATCCTTGTTTGTGATATAACAAAAGCCCTTATTGATATATTTGAGTTATTCTTAAAATTTGTATGTGATTTAGCAGTAATATTTTTTTGTGTGTGGTAAATGCAAGAGGGAAGGGCGGGGGTGAGAGCCTCGGCAGTTTATACATCTTTATCTTAAGGAATGCTAATAAAATACGGCTGACAGTAAGTCAGTTCCTCGAGAAAGAGACTCCTGTCAGACCACACACTGGTGAGAAATGTCCATAGATCAGAGTTAGGGTGTCTCATCTGAGCTACAAGGAATGCTTAAAACCTTGAAATGAGGAAGGTGCCAGCAGTCCCCCCTGGACAGTTCCACCGGTTGTCTAGAATAACGTGAGTCCTAGACTTTGGCCATATTCAGTGTTCACATCGGTTAATTATTCTTACTTTAGATCTTTGTGTTTACCGAACAGGTTTACAGTTTGTAACCCAGTGTGCTTTCTTGGTATTTGCAGCATGTGTTTACACCATCCTCCCAAAATGTGAAGATTTTGTTTGTACTTTAAGTGAGAAATAAAGAAATGAGCTACCCTGTATATCCTATTTGTGGTATGAGGAACAAGAACAAGTTTAAAAAAATGTTCTTGGAAAACGTCTCTAGACAACCTGTAATAAAGATGGGGAGAATGGAGTTGCCACGTCAGGGTGCCCAGGCTTGGCACTTACATACCAAGAACTCAAGTTTGTAAGCATTTTTGGTGGATCTAACATATACAAAGTGCTGAGCCTGGTATTTTCTATAGTAAGCACAAGGATGCCCCACAATGGGATCCCTGCCCTTGAGTCCACCAAGAGCTGATTTAAATCCTAAACCAGTTGGGAGAACATCCTGCTTCTAGTCCAGAGGAGAGTTTAAGTCCTTTTCCCCCAGCCCGCCCCCTCCCCCAGTTCTGACTTTTCTCATTCACCAAATGGAATTTGGGAAACCGCAATCCCACTGCTGGGGCATAGCAAGGAAAACACTGGGACCCACACCAGTAACACAGATTTGAATCTAGGACCTCTCACTTGTTGACCTTTTGTTTATGGTGGCAATGTATAGTTTGCCCTCCATATCTGTGGTTCCACATTCAGGGATTCAGCCAACCTTGGGTGGAAATATTTGGAAAGAAAATCAAGAAAGCCCCAAAAAGCAAAATGCCCCCCACAGGCAACAGTTCACAGAACATTTACATAGCGTTCACACCATTTACACAGCATTTATGTTGTGTAAGGTGGTATAAGTGATCAAGAGATGACTGAAAGTATATGGGAGGGTATATGTGGGTTAAATGCAAGTACTGCACCATTTTCCATAAGGACCTTGAGCATCCTCAAAGGTTGGTACCCACGGGGGTCCTGGAATCAGTCTCCTGTGGATATTAAGAAAATACTCAGTATTTAATAGGAAATGATCAGTAGGTAGTCATTTTAATTTTTAAATTAAACTTTGCAATACCAAGTAAATACATTGTTTTGTAAGATTCATCTATTGTCTTTCATTTCCACATTTACCCTACATGTATTTTAAGAAGGAAACAAACAAAAAAAATTCTCTTACGTTGCTTTCTTTACCTACTTTCAACCTCTTTTTTTTTTTTTTTTAAATCAGATATTTTTCCAAGAGCACTTCTGGGGGCTGGTGGTGATAGAAATGGCCAGGGCAAGCAGGAATCAGTATCAGGCTGTGGGTATTACTAGTTAAAACAGGAAAAGTGGTAAGTGGCCAGGACTTACCCCTTATTTTCTCCAGCTTGCGTCTTTCGGATTTACTCAGCCAATATTCACTGAATCTCCACTGCATGCTGCTTACTCTGCTCGTTTTAGGGGTAGGGAGGTTCCCCCCGACCCCCGCATTCACCTCTCTTCTGCCACCCCAGCCTATAGAACAGAACTGGGCAGTCATGTCTACCACGTCCCTCCTCCCCTGGAGCAAAGGTGCTTAAGCCCTGCTTGTTTGTTGGTTTTTAACTTAAAAGGTAATACTTTTAAATTTATGTGCATTTTATAATTCAAGAAATAATAAGATGTTGAGGACTTTCTGAAACAGTCTCAAGCCACTTGACTCTTGTGACAAATGTTTCTCTCAAAAAGTCTTAGAATTCTTCAAAGAGTCGCTATTTGTTTTTAAGATGTGAAGAATGTGGAAAGCTACTGAAAAAATTCTATAGATTGCAGAGAAGTTTGGCAACACTTGGGTAACTGGGTAAATGGTTTCAAGGGTGAGAATCTCAGTGGTTGCAATTGACTAGCAATTTCCCTTTTCCTGTCCTTTTTATAACATTGGGGAGGAAGACTCTACAGCATAAAAAGGACATTATTTGATTAAAAAATGATAAAAAATTTCAAACATGTAGTAGTCTTTATAGCAGGGGGAAGTTTAAAGATGGGAAAAAAGGTTGGAGGGGTAATGCACAAAAACACAGACACAATTGACAAAACACCCTGCATTATGTGAACACAGTTTCCCCTTCTGTTAAGACTACAGATGACACTGTGTGAGTATGTTTACTGCATGTTTGCAAAATGTGGTATTTCTTTATATGTGAGACGAAACTTGCCACAAAGCATTCGAAATCGTTTTATAATTTTGTGCGTGTGGTGGTCGGTTTGCCCCACGCACTCAAAGATCTCTGTTCAGTGTAGGCAACGCAGTGTTTTTGAGGAGGTCGCTGAAGCTGTCCTCTAAAAATTTATCTATGAATTTGCTTAGGGAAAGTAATGCTTAATATATACAGTATTTTCCGTAAATGTGGAGGTAAACTGGTTCATACGTCATTAGATTAGTGGAAACACCCGAATTTCTCAGTGCACTGAGGTGTAACCACCTCCTCCCCTGAGCACAGGGGCCTTGCTTTCACGTTCTTTACGTTCATTGCACGTATGTTGAGCTTTCATAATAACCCTGTCTTGATTTTTGAGAACTAATTTAGCAGTTTAAAAAAAAAATACTCCTCCTTCTTCCGTACAGATGTCATATGGGATAGTTTAAACATATGTACAGTTTGTTGATAGGATCAGAAGTGCTGGTTTAGAAGAGAATGTTCTCAACACCTTATGGTTATGCAGCTGTAATCTTGCTGAAAATTAAATACTATAAGCAAGTCAAGAGAGCATGGACCTCCTACGAGTTTTCTTTTTTTCTTTTTTTCAGGACTGTGTCCTGTAACAATATATATTTCCGCTCAGTGGGGACGTGACTGTCCTCTTTTGGGGACTGCGTTTAAGTATGTAACTGAAGCTGGAAAGCAGTGTGACATACATACATAGGAAGAGGAACTATAATGTATAATCACCATAACTATAACACTCTTTCTTCTGAACGTATTACATCTTGGTAATTTCTAAAAATCATTACTTTTTTATAGCCCTGTATAAATGAATGGTAACTTGATAGTACTGTTGGTGGTTAGAAGTTTCCTTTGTCTTCAACGTATTTATACATCATCACTATCTTTGGGTAGGAACATTTTAAAGTTTTCTCCATAGAAGGTAAAAGAGAGGCACTTGTTTGAATTATAATAAAAAATTATTTACTTTCAATACTGGATGAGTTGATAGTCTGATTGTTGACACTTAGTATTCGTGATATCACATGCATTTACAGTGGAGGAATTTTAAAAGTTCTGGCTGTCTCCCAAACACACACATACACACACACAAGCTCTGCATATTTAGATGAACAGTATAAAATTCCTCATTTTTCATTTTAGTCATTTAATTAACTATGTTAAAATTCATAGGATTCTACCATGAAGTATTAGCTCTTGACTCTGGTAATTCTAGAACAAGGAGATCAACTGTATCTCAATCAGCTAAAATGTTATTTACATAGCAAAAATACAGTTTGCCTGATAGGTATTACAAACTCACTTTCAAATTGTGTTAACGCTCAGACCACTGATGAATCATTTAGTAAACCACAGTGCAGTTTTTAAAAGCTAAATGATGCCTTAGTGCCTTGGAAGTTAAGATACTTTCGCAAAGTGAATTTAGCAGAATTCAGGATTGGTATGCCTGTTGCTGGGAATTCAGAGCTGAGGAAGGATGTAATTGAATTAACTCCTTGTGGTTTAGTAAAAAGTCAGTTATTTCATTCTTGACAGATGACAACTGCTTTCATTACATTATCATGATGTGTGGTGTTTGTTTTTTTTCTCTTTCCAAGTAAGTTTGAAATGGGAGAAAATGTAGTCAAGACAGTTAAATGTGGAATGTTAAAACTTGGTTTTGTTGTGAACTAGAGATGCTAGTGTGAACAGTGTCAGCTTCATATTGTAGTTCAAAGGCAGACACTTCATGTCACTTTTAGGAATATGTTTACCATCAGGGACTTTTTGTTTTTTACTCTAGAAATACTTAATGTACTGTGAAACTTAAAGACAGGAAGAAGAAACCTTGGAGGGGTAATGCACAAAAACAAAGGTGTATGTGATGAAGTAGCCTACATTATGTGAACACAGTTTCCCCCCTTCTGTTAAGACTGTAAACTACACCATATGAGTATGTGTCTTGCATGTTTACATAATAGTTTAATTTTGAAGGGTTATTTAAAAAAGTATGTTTATTTATAATACCTAACAAGCTGTAAATATTGTATACTATTGATTTTTAATTTTATATAAGCAATTTTTTATTTCCAACTCATGTACAAATCTCATGGTGTATATAGTATACTTTCCCGGAGAACATCAACTTTGCAGTGAATTTTAATTGTAGTAAGCATCAGGTTTAATTGTGGTAAGCATAGAAATGTTGATCTTTATTTTAAATTATTTTCCACCACTCATTTTCTTCAAAGGGCAGCAATAAATATATGCAAGTTATTTTTGATTTACAGAACGTTGGTCTGCAAAGACAAGGTCTAGGTTCCAATTCATTGCTTTAAAGAAAAGATGTACAATTAACATCATACACTGTCTAATCTCAGGACCATTTCTGAGGTCCATATGTGTGTCTCCTCTTTGTAATATACAGGGTGAACTCTTTACTGATACACACAGAACAACTGTTAAAAGCGAATCCAGCACTTAAATGTCATCACACAGAACTTACTGGGTTAAAATTTGTAATATACAGTATTTTAATAAAGTTTCTGTATTCAATTTCATGCACTTATATATAAATAAACCTGTCTTTAAAAGCTTTATGGGCTGTGTGACTCTTTATGACATGCACCCTTTCAACCCACTCCTTGCAGGCCGACACCTGACACCAGGTGAAGTGTCTCCTTTTACCCTTTGGTCAGGTTTTCTGGTTTCCAGGTCATACACCGGATTTGGAAGATGGCACTGACAAGTCAAATCACGTTTCAGAGACAAACCTGGCCTAGTTCACAGTTTTACGGAGGGCAGTGCTAGGCCACATAAGCATCTGCTCCTAAGAATCACTGTTTTAAAGAGCCCATTGTCACTTTTATTAATAAATGACTACCCTTTACTGAGTACTTAGTCTGTTAGATACTTCATAGGCGTTCTTTAACACTTATTTCAGGTTAAGGGGATTACTAAGAATTCTGAAGGTAATCCTTCACTTTATGAGTGAAGCATTTGAGGTTCAGAGAGGGTGAGCAGCTTCTCAAGGTCACACAGCTGCTAATGCTGAGGTGGGCTTTTCTTATTACCTATATGTTCCCCCCACTGTGCTGCGCTGGTTTCTGCAAAGCATCAGGGAGCCTGTAATGAGATGGGTCAGTCGCTCAGTCCTGTCCGACTCTTTGCAGCCCCTTGGGCTACACAGTCCGTGGAATTCTCCAGGCCCGAACACTGGAGTGGGTAAGCCGTTCCCTTCTCCAGGGGATCTTCCCAACCCAGGGATCGAACTGGGCTCTCCTGCACTGCAGACGGATTCTTTACCAACAGCCACCAGGGAAGCCCTGTAATGAGATAAGACAAAGACCAGATGGCATTATGGGGATTTGAAAAATCACCCTCAGGATTTGTATTGCCAAATCTAGGCATATTTTGAATTTTTGTTAGGGATTCCTAAGGTATGGTACTAGTTACCCAGTTAGGGTTCCACTAATCTCCAGCCTAAGAAGAGATTGGGGCCAACAAAGCCAGTCACTGTAATTGTTAACAAACCCTGCTAGTGTGAAAACTTGATTAACTTTAAAAATTGTGCAAAGAAAGTGGAAGTAAACTTTTTTTCCCCACATATACTGACTTATTTCATGTATTGCTTCATTAAAATGTATTTTCTTTTTTCTAGGTGACTTTTTCATTCAACCGTAAGATTTATAAAATTATTAAATATATTTTCCTTCCTGACCATGAGCCTTAAAAAAGTCCTTAAAATAAAAATCTTGAGATTAAAATTTTCCCTTTTGATTTTATTCTTTTGGGCTCTTGAAGTAAGATTTTTATAGTATTTTTGTAGAAGGAAATCTGTCTTTGGGTATCTTGATATTCACTGAGCATCGAAAGAAAGCATTGGATTTCGTATCTGTTGCCACCTATATAGAATGAGACCAGAGGGGAAGGTAATCTAGAAGAAAGATACTCAGTTCTTGAACAGAGCTTGTTTTCTTTCTTCCTTTAAAAAAAAAGTTTACATTTTTGGCTGTGCCGGGTCTTCAGTTCGGCACACAGGCCTTGCTTTCTCTAGTTGCAGGGAGTCGGGGCACCTCTTCATTGAGGCGGCTTCTCTGGTGCAGACGGAGCGTGAGCAGGAGCGGCATCAGGCCTGCTCAGTGGTAGTGGCACGCAGGCGTAGTTGCCCTGTGGCTTGTGGCATCTTCCCGGACGGGGGTCAACATGTGTTCCCCTCATTGGCAGGCAGGATCTTAGCCACTGAACCACCAGGGAAATCCTGAGCTTGTCTTCTGGTGGAGAATGAGTTCTTGTGGAGGAAGAATGTCTCAGACTTACCAAGTACACACCTAGGTCATCTGTGTTTTGAAGTTGTGTGTATGCTCAGTCACTCAGGCATGCCCGACTCTCTACGACCCCGTGGACTGTAGCCGGCCAGGCTCCTCTGTCCATGGGATTTTCCAGGCAAGAGTACTGGAGTGGGTTGCCATTTCCTTCTCCAAGGGATCTTCCCGGCCCAGGGACTGAACCTCCACCTCTTGCATCTCCTGCACTGGCAGGCAGATTCTTTACCACTAGAGCCACCTTTTAAGTTGAACCTTTGTTAATTCATAAAATAGTACCTAAAGTTTTAGGGTGTAAAGAAAAAGGTAAACAGGACCTATGGCAGATTTGAGGAGTAGAACTGGAGTTTACATTCAGCTTCCAACAGAATCTTAACAGAATAATCTGTCCCATTTTACTATTCCTGTTTATCTACTTTTAATTTTCTATATTCTTTGTTATTGAGGCTTCCCTGATGGCTCAAGTGGTAAAGAATTCACCTGTCAATGCGGGACATGCCGGTTTGATCCCTGGGTCCAGAAGATCCCCTGGAGAAGGAAATGGCAACCCACTCCAGTATTCTTGTCTGGAGAATCCCATGGACAGAGGAGCCTGGCAGGATACAGTCCATGAGGTTGCAAAAGAGTCGGACACGACTTAGTGACTAAACAACAATTCATTGTTATCATTTTTCTTTTGGCCAATTTTATGAGTACTCTTCAGGCTTAGAAGTTCTGGGGGTTCATTTGTAAAATGGAAATACATTAGTTGGTTTTCCTGCAAAGAGAGAATTTTATCACTAGATGGTGTAAGAGTTCTATTTCATTTTATCCTGGCTTTTGGCCATTCTTATCTATGAACCAACTCTAATTAAATCAGCCTATACTTCTGGACTCATCTCCATAAGATAATTTATGTTTTTCTGATAAAGATACATGTGAGGAAATGAAACACAATAAAAACCAAGAATTTCCAGGTTATCACTAATTTTCCAAAGAAGGTTAAGATGCAGTGTTCAGGGGTCACTTACAAATTGGCAAACCACATCAACTTTATGATTTTGGCAAGTCATTAATCTGGACCTTGATTTATCTATTTTTTATAAATTCATGCTCCAACTCACTACGTAATGGTCTTTAAAAGTCTATACTTGAGTGATTTTTAATTGCAGACTTGGTCAACCTGTTGGGATAAAAGGAATATACCTGTGTATCACAAGCAGTCTTGTACTATGAAACTTGGTTTTGAATCCTTGTTCTGCCATTTAGGATTTTCACTTGGCCAGGTTGGTTCACTTCTGTGATTTTCAGTTACCTCACCAGTAATGAGGTAATCTCTCCTACTGTAGGGGCTGCTCAGCAAACACCCTGTCCTCTGGGCTTCCTCCTCTCATGAATCCTGCACACAAGGAAGGTTGATGTCCTTCTAGACTGTGCTGTGAGTTTTGATAGTAAGCCCAGGTACCTCTGTTTCAAAGTCTGTTTCCATACCATGCACGTTGGGATTTTAGAGAGGACTTATCTCAGGTTTAAACCATCCCACTGAAGTGTGTGCTGCTTTGGCAGCAAAGTTTGCCGAGAGCATTTTTCAGAAACAGATCTCTCTGGAAAAGAGCCTGCTTAGAAAACAGAGTGGATAAACTTGCTCAGTTAGCAAATTCCTTGCGTTCTCCAAACCAAATATGTATAAGATAAGGAAGCCAAAGCAGTCAGCATAAACCCCTGAAAGGTGCTCTTGACTTGCCCGTTGGCTGCTTGCAGGCATCGACCACCGTGATCTTGTTGCAAGTGGGCTTCTTGGCTCTGCTTGTTGTTCTGCAGAGATGGTGTTGGTCTCTTCAGCTCCACAGAGTCCGACCTGAAAAGCATAAGTCTTAGGACACAGCGTGGTAGCGGCCTCGGAGACACACGTACATTCCAGGTCGTTAAGGAAATCAGGACAGCACTTAAGAGACCAGAGAAAGGACCAAACAGATTTTCATAAAATGACACACCTCCTGTCCCTTTTGCTTGTTTTTTTTTTTGTGGGAATTGGTATCAATGGGTAGGACTCTAGGATAGTCTTACAAGAAGATACTTGTATTGTCTTTGTTGTTGTTAAGATTTTTTTTAAAAAAATGAGCCATTTTTAAAGTCTTTATTGAGTTTGTTACAATATTGCTTCTGTTTTATGTCTTTATTTTGGTTTTTTGGCCTCAAGGCATGTGGGGTCTTAGGTCCTCGACCAGGGATCACACCCATATCCCCCTGCTTTGGAAGGCAAAGTCTTCATAGCTGGACCGCCAGGGAAGTCCCACGTGTGTTGTCTTTGATGTGGAAAATAAGGGAAGATAGAGAGATGGGTCGACATTGTAGGGCTGAGAAAACACCAATCTTGAGAGATTTCACACTGTTGAAGGCCCTGTGCGTGTTGACAGGGTGGGAGGGTATCAGACCTGGGACTTCTCCCTAGTTCTGACTTCTTGTGCATAGGAAGCCTCATGTTAGACTTAATCTATGACCACATCTTCTGCAGTAAACCTGAAAATCAGTTAGCTTCTTTTGTCTTCCCTTAAATGCAGGCTGAAACTTTCAATGGAACACCATCAGTTTAGGTCTGTTATTCTCGGACATTTTAAAACCTGGACCAGTTTGACACCTGGAACGTGACATTTGCCATACCTGCTACAGTTTTAAGCTTTAGTGCATCTGTAGATGTATTTGGAGCTTGTCTAAACTGGAGACTTTTTGCAAGGTGAGTGAGAAGAGATGAACATTTCAAATCCAAAGTATAACTTCTGCTGTACTTTTTAACAAGTATTTGGAGGAGCTGTGCCGGGCCTATATTATTGATAAAGTACTCCTTTTAATAATGTTGGCATTCAACTTTCAAATCATTTTCACATCTCTCATTTTACTCCCACAGTTTGTTCTTATTTGGAGGAAAGGGAAAAGTGCTTAAAAAAAAAAAAATCAAAGCCATTTACCTGGTTAAGCACAGGTCTCTCATGAGGCCTGGGCAGCTGTTTGGACAAATGCCAATACAACAGCAGACTTGTAGCTATGCAATCCGGGGGCCTGAAGGGATCCTGGTGGAAAATGACCACTTTCTGGGTAATCCAGGACTGGCTCACTCTCCTGCCACAAGGCTTTGGCTTCAGGCTTTTTGAGAAAGGATGCAGAAAGATCCCAGTGTGTTCACACAAGATCTTCCTGGGGCATTAACCTGTTTTCTTCTATCCGAAGTATCCTACTAATAACAGACATCTTCATCATTAGTGTGTACACCACAATGCCGACAGACGCTCGTTATCAGCAGAGGCGCCCCCACATTTCATCATTTCCCAAGTTTTCGTTTAACTGAGCAGATTATCTCTCTCATCGTTCAAACCTCTTGACCTTCAGAGACCCATGTGTCACCTCAGCTGGTTTACGCCCACCACCATTTATCTGGACAGGGAAAGTCGCCACATTGAGGCAAAATGTGTACGTCTTCCTGAATATTCTGAAACCAAAACAGACCGAAAGAAGAAAGGGTAGTTTTGCTATCACAGGAATGGGAGGCAGGGTCTGATGTCCACAGGCGGGGGCTGCAGTGTCTCAGCAGTAGGTTTGTTGGCTGAGATGGAAAAAATGAACAGTGCTCTGATTAACCTCAGAATCAGAATCAAGTGAAAAAACACGTCCACCCGAGACCTCAGAGATGTGTTTGTGGTGTTTGAAAATGCACTGGGGAGACCATGAAGAGCTTGAATGGAAACTTAGATGACAACAGTGCCCGTAAATAAAAGACCAGCTCAACATTATGGAAGGACAAGAGGCAGAGATAAGAAACTGACAAGTAACCCTAAAAGAATTCGTTGTTGTTGATGAGTCTTAGGGTTTTGTTGTTGTTCGTCGTGTCTGACTTTGCAACCCCATGGACTGTAGTCCAACAGACTCCTCCGTCCATGGGATCTCCCAGGCAAGAATACTGGAGTGGGTTGCCATTTCCTTCTCCAGGGGATCTTCCTGACCCAGGATCAAACCTGCGTATCCTGCCTTACAGACAGATTATTTACCACGGAGCCACCAGGGAAGCCCCACTTTGCAAATATCTCTTTATTTTTAAAGTGTTTCTTACTCCAATATAAACCTTGTCTTCACTCACCATCTCCATAAGGGGGCAGACATGGTCAAGAGCCAGAGGGTTTCTTTCCACGCAGAGTAGATAAGAGAATCTAGAGGGATCAAGTAGACAAGATTTTTTCCAAAAGAAAGGTCCCCAAAGTTAACAAAATAAGCCCTTCAAATGTGTTCTGTCACCAGAGCTGGGCTTTTCCCATAAACTGAAATGAGGACAATCTAGCTAAAAATAAATTTGTTTCTCTTAAATATGCATGCAGTGTTTTTAATATTGGAACATATCAAATATCAACCTGAGAAATATATCAAATCATTTGGTGAGGTTCTAGTTTTATGATGTACACCTTGAAAAATGTGATGGTTACCTTGGCTGTTACTAATCCAGTCTGGGCTCATCCTTTTGTCCAAAGCTGATAAATAAATATGCTGGCTTTTTATACGTGGATTAATTTGGAAAATAAGGTCCAATCTCTTTACAACTTCCCCGGCTTCTCTCTTCTTTAAGCCACAATGAAACATGGGTCAGACTAAATGTAAACAACCTGTATTAAATATGTGCTGAAGAGTCCTCACCCAGAGGGGCTTTTGGGGAAAAGAATCAGTGGGACAAGTCAGTTTGATCAAACTTATCTCCTATGTCCCTGTCTTAGAGATTCACAATTCACACAGACATATTTAAAGACTGGAAAGTTTTGAGTTAGGAAACCCTATTTGGCTTTGTTTCATTGCCATGAATTCTCTGAAAAATGTCTACTGCCGTAAGAGAAATCTCGCTAGCTGACGCGGTGGACTTCTAGAAAGCATTCCCAAGCATTTTTAAAAGTTCTACCTGCTGTCCCCAGGCAGATCTCTGGCTCAGTCACACTCAGTCTGAAGCAGGGTTTTCATATCTGAGTTTTCATCTCCAGTGTTGCTTCCCTTGCCTCCAGTGTCTGTTGATGTGTGGTCCGCATCCTTTGCTCGGCCCTGGGACTCTGGAACCTTCCCAGCCCTGAGTTGTCATGTTTGGCAAGTCTGCCAGGCGCTTCCTCACTTACATGTCCTTTAGGCATTTCCTGGGCCCAAGCTTCCTGGATGAGGTTTGCTACTTATGGCCCCGGCTCACGTTGCTCATATTAAGTGGGACCCTCACAGGAAATCCAAGGTTGCATCTGGCACGTGTCCATTGAGGGGTGCAGGCTAAACGTCTCAGCATTTCCTCCAAGGAAGAGACCCTGGGGCCTGGGAAGGTCAATGCCGCTTCACAGAATGCATGGCGATAGGGCAGACCCCGAAGGATGTTTCTAAAGACGGAAGTGGTGCCCGCAGTGAAGAGGAAAATGGCGGACGTGGCCGCTTCCGGCGGGACAACGAGGGAAAGCCTGGTGGGGGACTGGGGCTTGTGAAGCGAGTCATGGACAGGCGAGCCTCGAGGGGGAGGCCGTGGAAGGTAAGAGGAAAAGGTAGCCACACGCCAGGCCTCAGCGCTCCGAACCAGGCACGGGGACTTGACTTTTCCCCCACAGGCAGAGGGAAACCACTGACACTGTGTCAGAAGGAAAAATGCTCTCCTCAGGAGATGAGCTTCGGAAGGCGAGCGTGGGCCCTGTCAGTGCTTTTATATCATCCTTGTGTCCGCTACCTCGGTGTTCGTGGGAAAGAGCAGGGGCTTCTGAGTCGCAATCCTTGATCGGTTCCCACCTATTATGGCCGTGTATAAGCTTGAGAAAGTTGCTTAATCTCTCGGAGCCTCAGTTTCCTCATGTATGAAATGATTTAAGAAGCGACCTCAGGGTGTTGTGGGACTTCAACAGTGTGTACTACATACTGCGGACTGAGTCGCTTCAGTTGTGTCCGACTCTCTGCAGTCCCACGGACTGCAGCCCGCCAGGCTCCTCTGTCCATGGGATTCTCCAGGCAGGAACACTGGGGTGGGTGGCCGTGCCCGCCTCCCGGGGATCTTCCTGACCCAGGGATGGAACCCGTGTTTCTTACATCTCCTGCCCTGGCAGGTGAGTTCTTTACCACTAGCGCCACCTCGGATGGTGCAGTTGGAATACACCCCGGCTTGCAGACATGCTTCATGAAGTCATGCACGTGGAGATCATTCTGACCTGCATTTTCCAGCAACACGACAGGCGTGCTCCCCGGTCAGCTGCTTGCGCCTTGCAGGCTGCAAGTCCGCATTGCCCTAACTGCTCGTGACAGAGAGAACCTTGCTGCTACCGGTATTTTTCTTTCCTAACCTGAGTTGTTGCGTTATTTTGGTTGCTGTCGAGGCCCTTATCTCTCGTTCTCCCCTTTAGTACTCGCGTCTGCTGTCAGCAGACAGAAGCAGCCATCTGGACTGCCTCTGGGAGCGTGACTTCTTGAAACCCAATCTGCCCAGTTGCCTCCCAAGCAAAGAAGATGGTCAGAGGGAGGTGAAACCCGTTGACTCCCAACCCAGCAGATTTGCCTAGAACTGGAAAACTCAAATTCCCTTTGTGGCCTCCCCTTTCTTCTTTTAAAGCTGGTCAATGGAGGGAAGGAACACCTGATGGGAATTCTCTGTAACATCTCTTATCAGGACACTACCTGGATTCAAGGCACTGCAGATTAGTTCAAGCCAACTCGTATGTGTGAGAGTTTATTTTATACCATAAGATACTTAGTGAATAGTTTTTACCTGCCAGAGATGTATCTAGTCCTTTGATGTATTGTTTCTCTCCTTACCCTATCTCCACATGTTGGGATTTTATCAAGTTAATTTTAACTTCTTCCCATCCACCCAGGCTCTCTCCTTCTGGACCGAAGGCCTTACTTTCTACTCACATGGTCACTCTTTACTCATGTGTCCATTTGGTTCTTTGTCTCTGACCCCACACCTCCCAGTTCGGCCTCCTCCAAGGCACAGCACCCACCATCTCAGCCTGCTCCAGGCGAGGGGTACTGGGACTTGGCTCTCTGGACAAGACTTGAGTAGGCTCCAGGGCCTACAGGAAAAAGCCAAAGGAGAAGGAGGACAAGCTGGGGAGGAAGGGCGTGAAAGAGAGAGCCTGATGGATTCCTGGGCAAGCCTTGACCTGCTAAGACATCTCTGCAATGATGTAGAAGAAAGGGAGGTAAGATTGTGTGTCTGAGGGTAAGTGGGTGTATTGATGCGATTCCATGTTACATTATTATGAAATGATTACACACACACACACTTCCAGTGGAAAACATCCCTCTCCCCTTACTTTAAGAAGGAAGAACACTGGAACAGGATGGTTCTGTACTTGGGTTAGTGACTCTTGCTGTTGGCGTCTTGTGTGGCTCTTAACTGTGCATGTCCTCATCTCATGGTGACGGGGTAATTTTCATAAAGAATATTCCTCACCCATGTTCTCATTTTTGTATGCCTCAGAAGCCCAAATCTTGCTAAAACCTTAAAACTTATATTTTACCATATAAAATTTCCTACCATTAATTGCATTTGTAATAATACATCACATCTTTCAAATCAACTTGATACCAGCAGGATTGTCAGAAGGTGTTCCTGGATTTATAAAGAGGTATTCAGATGCTTTCAATGCTAGGTGATAAACAAGCTGAAAATAGATAGATCAGTAAATATTTTATGGAACTAATAATTTGTTTTTAATGTAAATTGGTGGGAAGGCTGTCATGAATGATATCTGCAGTGAGTAAAACACTTTTGGAGGTGCTGCACATTAAATAGTTGCACTAAGACTTTTGGAATGCCTTATAGCCATAATTTATGACCTATATATTAGATAATAGTGTCACATCATTGTTACATTTCTTGAATGTGAGAACTATACTGTGTTCATGTAAGAAGATATCTTTGTTCTCAGGCAAACACTGGTATGTTCAGGAATAAAGAGGAACAATGTTTGTAATTGACTTATATTAATATTAATGTTGGGCTTCCCTGGTGGGTCAGACAATAAAGAATCCACCTGCAATGAGGAAGACCTGGATTCGATCCCTGGGTCGGGAAGATGCCCTGGAGGAGGGCATGGCAACAGGCTCCTGAAGAATTTCTTCAGTAATTCTTGCCTGAAGAATCCAAGGACAAAGGAGCCTGGCGGGCTACAGTCCATGGGGTCGCAAAGAGTTGGACACGACTGAGTGACTAAGCATAGCAATACTAAGATTATGTAATACATTAATATTTATACATTATATTAACAATTATGTATAAAGAGAGAGTGAATGATATAGCACATGTGGATCAATGTTAAAATCTGGTTTATCTGGATAAAGACAGTATGAAGGTTTTCTGTATTATTTGAACAACTTTTCTGTAACTTTGAAATTATTTCAAATAAAAAGTTTAAAACATATATATATGGCCATGTATTAGATACAGTTGTCCCTTGGATCCTTGGGGTCTGGCTCCAGAACTCCCATAGATATCAAAATCTGAGAGTGAAGTCCCTCATATAAAACGGCATGTTTGTGCTCAGTCGTCCAGTTGTGTCAGACTCTGCGACCCCGTGAACTGTAGCCCTCTTGGCTCCTCTGTTTATGGGATTTTCCAGGCAAGAATACTGGAGTAGGTTGCCATTTCCTTCTTCAGGAGATCTTCCCGAACCAGGGATCGAACTCAGGTCTCCTGCATTGTCAGGTGTGTTCTTTACCACTGAGCTTCCAGGGAAGCCTGTGAAACAGCACAGTGTTTGCATGTAACCTATGCACATCCTTCTGTATATTTTAAATCAGCTCCAGATTGCTTACAATACCTAATACAATGAAAATGCTATGTAAGTAGTTGTATATAGTTGTCCATGTGCAGCAAATTCAAGTTTTGCTTTCTGGAACTTTCTGGAATTTGATCCACTGTTGGTTGGATCTCAGGATGCAGAGCCCGAGGACATAGAGGGTCAACTGTATGTATCTGGATGTATAATCTGTCCTTGTTTTGAATTTAACCTTTAAACTGAGAAGGCTCCAGCTGATATTATCATGAAACAAGCTGAGTCAGGTGATTCGGGCTTAGGGTGTATTTGCAATCTTCACGCTGTGTTGGGAGGCTGCCTCCCAACCAGGCAGACCCGTAAGCACAGGAACCCTGAGAGTTCCCCAAGTTTCCTGTTGTGAGCTGACATGCAGTTTCCCTGGCTCACTGTGT